TTGGATTATTGTTAGTAATGGTGGTTGTTGTTATTGTGTTGGTATAATTGATAGTTGGTAAAATAATTGGTTTATAAGTTGGTGATATGATTTTGTTTTGATTGTAATTACCAAAATTGATTTTGTTTATATTGATCAGTGGGTGGTATTTTGGTAGTATAGATTTGTTTAAATAATTGGTAGCATTTGATTGGTTGGTTTTGAGATAGTAATTAATTAACAGAAGTAAACTAATTGCAGATTTTTTGTAAAAGTTTTTTTTGAAAAAATTTTGGTGGTTTTTGTGATGTAGCAAATTATACTAGGCAATAGTAAAAAGTAAACAATGAATATATTGCTGATTCTCCAAGTCAACAATATAAACATTTTTGATATATGATTTGATTTTTTTGTTTGCAAAGAAAATCTCTAAAAAAAAAATATGGTTATTTAATAAGAAATGTATATTTGTAAGAAGTGAAAATAGGAAGAACTTGAAGAAAAATTTATGAAGAAGTAGCTGTCATGAGCCTTTCCTCATGCAATTCAAAAAAAAAGCAAGGGCCCTAAACTTGCTTTTCTTTGATCAAAGGTCCCATTCCGATGCATTAGCATATTTCTTTAATTTCCTTGAGTTCTTATAGTAAAGGTAAAGGATATATAAAGAACTTTGGGAAGTTGAAAGATGAAAAAATATTTGTTTCTTTAATTTTGAAAGATAATTATTAAAAAAAGAAATTTTTAAGAAAAAAGTTGTGTACAGATATAAGACTTAAAATTTTTTTTTAATTTTTCAAAACCTAAAACATATTTATATAAAAATTTTTTTATAATTGTATTAATAAAATTAATAATAATAAATTATTTAATTGTTTTTTTTTAAACAAGATTATCACACATTCCAATGTACAACAAACCTTTTTTTTTATAGTTTTATAACTTTATAAAAATATTTAAATTAAAAATAAAAAATATTTTTATTGAAAATTATTATAAAAATTATTATTATTTTTAAATATATATCTTAAAAATATATTATGTAATTATTTTATTTTATATAAATATTTATTTCTTAATTTAATATTAAATATTGAATATAAAACTTTTTTAATTTTTTTTCTTAACATACTGTATATACATATTATAATTTACTAAAAAAAAATAACAATAATAAAATAAAATAAAATAAATAAAACTAATTATTTTATATTATTTTTGCTTGAAAATTTTATTATTATTATTATTTTTTTTAATATTAAATAAAATAAAATAATGATTTATTGCAATAAATTTTTAATATAAATAATTATATTTTTTATTTATTAATAAAAGTTTCTATATGCAAAGAATTATAATTTTTTTAAAAAATAATAATTTGATTTTATTGAATTTTAAATTAAATTACTTAATAAATAATAATAATAATTAGATTATTATTATTTTATATTTATTTAATATCTTTTTATATTGAAATAATTTTAATAATTTTTATTATTATTGTTATTTTATAATATAATTAAAATTAATTGTATTTTTTTTAAATTTAAATTTAAAAATTTTATTAAATAATTATATTTTTTATATTTTAAATATATGTATTAATATAAATTAAAAAAAAACACCATTTTCATTTCTCTCATTTTTTTGAAAAATTTCCCTTTTTAGGAAATTTTAACAAAACAAATTTCTAGCTTATTGTCAAGTTATTCTTTCTTTAAAGAAACTTTTTTCTTTTTTTAATTACTATTGAGAACAAAAATTCTTTTCTAGAGAAGATTACTGATTGCTTCTTTCCTGCTACAACCTAAAAGATTTAAGTCAAGTAGTCCTAGGTATTATATGTGAAAGATCAAATTCTAGGCTTATTGGATAAAAGATTGGTTTCTCCTTTTTTAAGATGAAAAGTTATCTCTGTCAAAATTAATATAACAAACTTATTATATTTCAAGTCTTACTACATATGAGTCAATTTTAAGAATTTGGTTAGAAACACTCAAGCTGTATAAAAATGGGACTCTTGGTCAAATTTATTAAGACTAGATATCTTGATAATAAAGGTTATATAGAGAAAGCCTTTGGTTTGATTTCCTTTTCATTTATACACATGAATACAAAAAAAAAAAAAACAGAAATCAGTTTATTTCTTCCAAAAGATTGATAGATTTTTTCTCTAATCACATTTTATAAAAATCATACCATCAACCATTACTATTATAACAATAATAACAACAAATTATAACAATAACAATAACAATTTGTTACATATTAATAGTCTATTTATAACCTTGAAGAGATTAACAATGTAAACATTAATATATAACATTATTATGGTTTTTAAATAGAATATCATATATATAGGAGTTATACCTTGCTTAAGGATTCTTATAATTCTCTTCAATTCTTTATTCGATTCTCAAGTTTATATTAAATTTAATAGGTGGAGTATATCCCATTATTATTTTTAATAGTGTTCCTAATCTCATACGATTTCTTGTAATTCTATTTGATTCGAATTTTCAAAACCATAATTCTGCTTGATATTTTGCTTTTAGATTTGACAGTTGAAACCAACTGATTTCTTTGAAGTGTTTACTAAAAGATTTTGAAGTCATGTTTCACTTGGCCTTAGGGCCCCTATATTTGATAGTTAGTACCAATCAAAGATTATAGTTTTGGAGTATTTATTAGGAAATATATATCTATATTTAATTCCCTTTGAATCTATAGCTATGTGAGCCAAAGTTGTAATGTAAAAAGTTATTTATTAATTATTAATATGTATCAAGTTAATTTTTTTTTTCTTCTATTAATTTTCTTAAATAGAAATCTTAGCTACTTGATACTATCTCTAATATATAATAGTTTTAATATTTGCTTTACTTACTGCTTAGATAATTATATATAGGTTGACTAATATTAGACTTATTAGCTTATTAAGTTATATAAGAGATGTTGTTGCTTTCTGTATATAAAGTTTAAATAATTTTATTGTAAATAAAATAATAAAGTTTTCCTATGTTAAAATATATATATATATATTAATATAAATTTTTATCTTATTTTATTAATTAGTTATTAATTATTTGAATTTTAAATTATTAAATATAAAGTTAATTAATAAAAACATACTAATAAATAAAAGTTATTTAATAATTATAAAGATATTGATAATATTATTTATATAAAAGAACTTGTAAAAATTGTTCAAGAATTAACAAATAATTATTTTAAGATATTTCAGAATTAATAACCAATTTTTTTATTGATTTTAATTTAAAAAAATTAACAAAAGAAATTTTTTTATATTTTATTTAACGTTTTTGAGAAAATTATAAAAATTATAATTAGTTTATTTACTTTAATTAATTGGCAAAAATTAATTATACTATATAAAATTAAAATTACTTATATAAATAAAATTTATTACTTATTACTGTATTTTAACTAATATTTTATTTATTCTATAATTGATCTTAGTTTAATTAGATAAAAAAAACTTAAGAGCATTTCAAATTAATTCCATTAATATATTTTATTTTTATATAAATCAAATTAATAAGTTAAAACTAGTAATAAAATTTTTATTTTTTAAATAAATTTATAATTTATTTATTATATTTCTATGTATAACTAGTTAATAAATTGATATTTAATTATAGTTTTAATATTGTAGAAAATATTTAATATAATAATAATATCCAATATATATTAATAAAGATTATGGTTTTAAAAATTCGAATTATATAAGATAAAAATAAAAATTATTACTATTATATTATTTTTTAGATAAAAGATATCATATGCACAAATCTTTTATTGAATTATTAAAAATATAAATTATTATATTGTTTAATAATTTTTAATTTATATTATTTTATTTTTTAAAAATTTTCTTATAAAAATTATTAATTTAAATAGTTATTATATTTGAAAAAAATAAATTTAATATAATTCATATATGCAATATAAAATATATATTATAAAGATACTTTTATTTATAAAGTTTTTAATGAAATATAATTAATGTATAATAATAATAATAATAATAATAATAATAAACAATAATAATTATAATTAATTTTTTTTTATAATGTTTAATCAAAAATATAAAATTTTGATTTATTGCTTTTTTTAATATTTTTATTATTGAAAATATCAACAAATTTATTTTTAATTAGCATTAATATTAATTTAATAAAAAGAAATTGTCAGTTTTGATTGCCAGTACTGTATATACATATATTATATACAAATAGTATAGTATTATTTACATGTTGAAAATTATTATTCTACATAGTTAATAAAAAAAACATGATAATATTAATTTGAAGAAATAATTTTATTATCATAAAAAAATATTTTTGATAAACAAAATTTTAACAAAAAATAATATCCAATACTTGTTTCTAATTCATTGATTATTCTGGATTGTGTTTTTACTATATTTCTTTTAAAATAATTGAAACAATTTATAAATAAGAGTATTTTTTAAATAAATATATAATTGACATTTTAAGATTTAATAAACAACTATAATAAATACTTTTTAAATAAATCTACTAGCCCGATTGTGTGTAATCTACGTATTACTTCAAATAAACTTTTTGGATCATCGGTTGCATAAACGAAGATCCAAATTTTAATTAATCATATAAAATTCAATGGAAATTGCGCTCAGAAGTCTCTTTTTGTTGACTTAAATGCACTTGCTCACAAAAAAAATTCAAACTAGAATTCTTTACAGCATCAGTTGCTTAAAATTTCTAATAAATCTTCAATGTTTTTACTAATCATAATGCAAAGTTCTATGTTGATCTTTGACATTATTCAAAACAAGTTGAATTGGATCTCGAATATTTCCGTTATTGAGCTGGCGATCTTATATTAAAAAAAAAAAGGTTATGATGAACCTACTACAGTATATTAATGTGTCTTTACAATAAAAAAAAAAAAGAATTTGCACATAAATATGAGATTTTATGATTAATCAAAGGCCTCTATAGTAATATAATGCACAGAAACTATTTTTTGGTTTCATCGGGAACACTAGTAGAATTTGTTGCAGTATTTTTGAGGTCTTCTTGAGGAACAGTCTCATAGCTTGGTGGTGGAACAACCGTGTAGGCAGGAACCGGTGTATAATAGACAATATAACCATTATCTGGAATGTTATCATATTGGTTTTCAACCTTGAGTCTCTGGTAATAAGCCCACACAGCCAAACAGAAATGAAGCTGCAAAATGGATAAAAAAGGTAAACTCGATAAATAGCTTTAGCAAAAAAGATAATACACAATTGAATACTTACGTCAATAAGACACGACACCCCGAGAAATACAACCATGGTCGCAGCAGCCTTTAGATACCAATCCATACATTGATCCATATCCATTTCAAAATCAGGCTGTTCAATTAATTTTTCACAAACATCTTTATCAAGGTAAAAGGCTACAATGGAAAAGACGATGGACACAGAGAAGCCCAACATAAGCTGCCACCAATAGAAAATGGAATAAACTTTCACATAATTGATCTTGTTCTAGTAGAATAAGCGAATAACTCAGTAAATCGGACAGTAGGCACAAAAAGCAAACAGGATGTTAAAAAATCCTTACCTTTATTACGCCATAAAGGCCAGCAAGACAAGCAATTGTAGCTCCAACGTAGTATGTGGATAAGATACTATAAAAGAAACCAAAGTGTTCCGCTAACAATGAAAATCGGTAAGCGTTTGACATATACGACAACTGCGGAATTTTAATTTTGTAGAAAAAGAATGTTACTAAAACTCGTTTAATGATTTCTCTATATTTCATGATGATACACCATACTTACAACTCCAAGAGTAGCCAATATAAATGTGGCCGTTCTAAAAGTTTGAAAAACATGGTGAAAAATGCAATCAAAAAAAAGCAGATTCCTGGAAAAAAATAGCCAAGCATACCTAAGACCAATACAAAAACAACATTTAGATAACATGGCTATCAAAGTTAATAAACTCTAAGGTGTTGAAAGGATGTAAAGTGAAAGAGAGTTATGTGTAATAACAACTACTAAACGCTAAATATATACTTGCACTATCAGATACATATGATAAATTTGTGTTACATCAAACTGGAACAAGAAAACGTTAAAAATAGATTCGTTAAAATCCTTAAAAAAAAAAAAAAATTTTTTTTAATAATATATAAAAATACATAAAATATAAAAATATATAACTTTTCTCTTTCAATATAAAACATGAATTATTTTAAAATCAAAATTATTAAAGACTTTATTATACTCACTGTATAATTATTGATTCATGTCACTATAATTAATGATATAATAATAATACCCTTTATATATACCCGTGACTAAAAAAATATTTTAAACTTTTAAAAGAATAATAAATTAATTAATTAATCAAAAAATCAAACTTCATTGTATTTTTTATTTAATATGATGATGAAATCAATTTATTTATATAAAATGAAACATAAGAATATTTCTCTCTGTATATTAAAATGCCTCCAGTAAAACCCAACAGACATAATACCCATAACGACTCTTTCACGCATCACATATCGCGCCAAATTTTTACTAGGCGGTCTGATTTCCCGCAACATTTCACGACAATATCCGAAGCTCGTAATGCGGAGGCAATTTGCAAATTCGATTGGATAACAGAATTTAAGATAAAAGAATTAATTGATTATTCCGATGGTTTACTTGAAATTTCGATATTACCATCATTTTTCTTTGAAACATACAACCTTGCGTTTCCGCAGAATAATTCGAAAGATAGTTTGGTAAGTTTTTATATAAAAAATACTTGATGATTCAGCCACTTGATTTCATTATGTTTTTTTATTTAGGGTGATGTTCTAAAATCAACGTACCCAGAAACATTTGAAACCATGAAGTTTGAAGATCGTGAATATATTTTTTCAATTCTTTCCCTTACGGTTAACAATACCACATCTCAATCTGGTAGTAACTTAAATATCAATAATATCAATACTTTATTGTACGACTGTAATTACCGAAGTCGTTATTACTCCTCACATCGTTATTGTGACGAAATCGATTCTGATGTAACTTCGATGGACTTGGATTCGGATGAAAACGGAAGTTGGACCGAGGAAGTAGAATGTTCTGGATTTTCGGGAAAAGTTGTATCCTCTGAAAAAAAGAATAATGGATTACATGAGACACATAGATGGTTTATATTATTGGTGAATGGTTTTGTCTAATTTGTGAACAAAAAATCATTGATATCATTGTTGCAAATAATATGAAGCAGAATATACAGTGAATACATACGAGCATTTATAGTGTATATACGCATATATATACAGCATATATATATGTATATTATTTAAAGTACTTTATATTATTAAATTTGTAAAAACAATATTATAATAATATACAGTATGTAATTTTCATGCATTTATCAAATATTTTTATTTTAAAATTTTAAAATATTTATATTTGACAAATGAATGGTTATAGTGTTCAATGGTAATAAATACATTCAACAAGCAGTTAGTTATTCCAGAATACTTCTGTTAAGAACCGTTAATGGATCATTTGAACTAGTCTAAAATTAGGCTATTTCACATTGGTCCCCCATAGCGTCGGGAGAAATACCGTTAAATAATTCATCGCTAGCTATAAGAATTTCCATGGAAGAGACATCACATGATTATACCTACGCAGATGTTGGTCATATGATATATAGTAAAATTGTGGATATAAAATTTACTTTCATTTTATTTAATAAAACATCTTTTATTTTTAAAAGAAGATAGTAAAATGTTATTTTGAAATGATAATGAATTTTGAGATGCAGTGTAAAGAATGTCACAAATTTTATAATATTGTATGTAATTGTTATCTCTGAACCAGAAAATTTTTTATGCATAAGTGTGTTACAATCCTTTTCGACTTCGCCTACCAAAAATTAAAAACCTTCATTTCTCGAGAGTGAAAATATGTCTTGGTATTCAAGTACTGGCGATGAAATAAATATTCAAGAACAAAGGACAAACGCTACATATATTAACGGAAGTCGACAATATCCTAAAATTGGTGTGTTTCTTTTCATTTATTTTATAACTGCGTTTCTCTGACTCTAGTTCAAAGGTTGTTATTAACGGTTTTTCATGAAAACTCACTTATTCGAAATCAATATAGCTTCTTCAAAGAAAACAGTATTTCATTCTCATCCCAAGTTTTCTTCTCACAATACTCAAAAACCCAAGTTCAATAACTCATACCACAAAAAACATTTAAACAATAAATCAAATTCTAGTTTTGATAATAAACCTTCTTTAAATCATAATCTTAAACCCCATTCGAATTTTAAAACTAATTCCAGTCTTTGGATAAAAATTGATTTATCTACTATCACCTTCTACCCCAATGAAAAAAAAATATTATCATCCATGTGTGACCAGATGGAATTATTACTGAAATATTCTCGTGGGGTGCTGGCCATAAGTTTTAATAAAAAGAAATACATTGAGGAAATTCAGATTCAATGGTCTGATATTAAATCCTTCCGAATTGTTAATGGGCATGATATTGAAATGGTGTTTTGCGAAGGTTTTCAAGCCAAGGTGAGTACATTTGAGAGATTCGAAGTTTTGATGCATAACGTTTATTGTAATTTTATGTGAGTCAACCCTTTTTATTTTATTTACTTAGTTTTACAACATTTCCAAAAACTTTCGTAACCATTCCAAAAGTAATGGAAAAAATCTGTGCGAGGAGATTATAAAGGATCCCACAGGCGGATTTATGAATGGAACGACTTCAATATTGTTGAGTCCCTGTTCAATGGTTCATCCTGCCACCATTATGATGATTGATGCTGCCATTCAAAAATTTTGTTTTAGTCATGACACTGGTTATAATATGGAAGAAGTAAGTAATTTTGTGGAGTTGTTGTTGAAGAATGTTATAACGTTATAATTTGGATTTTGTGGTTACTTTTTTTTTTTTTTCCGGATAAATCATTCAAGAAAGAAGTTAACACCAAATTGGCTAATATTACAAAGGCGAAAGGAGAGGTATCGATCATTTTCAAATTAGATTTCACTATTCCGATTTGGTTTAGGTTATCTTTTCTAATGTTCCATCTAAAATTTCTGAACAGGACAACAATATCGTATGTGATTTTTACTTAATCATATAGTTTTCGGGGAATCCCAATACATTCTCTTTACCAAAATGTGACTTTCTATTATTATCATTCATCTCGTCCAATCATACTTTTACGCTTAACAGATGTATGTCACGATAGTATTCCTCACTCACAACCGCATAATGTTATCCCCAATGAACATTTCAGTGAGTGCTATGCTCCAAAACATTGAAAATCGATTCGCAATTAAGATCGATAGTTTTAGATATAGGAATTTCAATAATGATTTGATCACCGTGATGAATGATGATGATTGGAGGGTTGCAGTGTGGAATGCTAAGAGACTCGGCAATAGAATAACTATTCATTTGGGTGATTAAGCAAGTTGAAAAGCGGAGTGGGTGGGAAAATTTGTCCAAGTCTCGAAAAAAAAAATAACATTGACAGTATAAATCACTTGGGTTGTGTGGGTGTGAATTGGTTAAGAACATTTGGATAGAGTTTCTTAATCGAGATTCCTCTGTCAATTAGAATCTTCTCGCGGTTGCCGATAATAACTTTTATCCTGGAATAGATTAGAAGGTCGTTCTCGGTCATGATTTTTATTTGGCGGAGGGATTTCGATCATGGACATTGTTTGGAAATTAATGCGTTTAATACTTGGCCCAGTGAGCAATGGCATGCTCTTCAAGTGTTCTAAAAGGGATTTCTCCATTATTATTGTTTATGATGAATTGATTTTAACTCTCCGCTTGCATAATAACCACATTGAGGATTCCTAAAGTGCAATTATAGAGGCATTTTTGTTTTTCGGACGTCATTTTTTTTTTTTTTGTCTCTATCTAGACAATTTGTTAAACAAAAAATTTAAATTATAACTAGATTTGCAATATAATTAAAAAAGAAATTATTAGGAATTATAACTGTATTATTATTATTTGTAATAAATAAAGAATCATTATTATTATTATTGTTGCAAACAAACATTAAATGCGAGACATTTTAATATGATCCTGAAAAACTGTTGTATTTTAATATATTATAATATGAATATGTTTTATTGATTTTTATTTTAATATATTATAATATGAATATGTTTTATTGATTTTTATTTTTAAACCCTTTGTTTTTTTAACCATATTATATTAATCAATTTATAGGTAAACTAGTTTTTTATATTTTTAAAAAGGTTACTTTTAAATTTTTTATTTAATCTATATTATAATTCTTATATTATAAATAATATGTGATTGCACACTATACATGTATATACATACGTATATTATTAATTAATTCAATTTTCTAATGATTATTATTTATTATCACGTATATACTTTATTCTATTTAAATATTAATATCATCACGTATATATTAAATTTAATTTAGGTTTTTTGAGTTACTGTGCATTTTGTAGTTACGTTTAATTACGTAGCTAAAACCAGTATTCCAAACATGATTAATTGTGGTAATAAATTTCCATTTCCAATACTGTACAATGCCAAAGTTAGTGTGGCGTCGGACATGTGATTGGTGCAAAGAAAAGGTTTTTACATTTGGTTCACGTTTAACAATTTTCGTTTAATGAAATGTCGGCTAATCATCCCCCACCTATTCCGCCAAAGCCAAGTAGTGGTCAAGGAAGAAGTAATGAAAATGGTGCACCAAATATGAATCAACTGTTGAACTTAATTGATTCAGAGATTGCTAACAAGCCGCAAGATAACTGGACTCCTGCGAATGTAAATTCAAACGACGGTCGACCATATCCTCAAAACTTTTATTCAACGTCGTCAGCTTCATATAATGCAGGCGTGTCTTCACATAATTATCCACAATCCTATAATTTGCAAGGTTATGTTCCCGGACAATCTTATGACAATAACGCCGTGCCTCAAAATTATGGCGGACAACCTTATTATCAAGAGAATCAATACGTAGATCCTTATTATTATTCAATGTACCCTCAAGAAGATTGGTCGGTTCAAGCTCAAAACTATTCGGAAAGCTATATGCAAGGAAATTTTCCCGTCCCAATGTCTTCTCCCATACCACCACCGTCTTCAAATCAATCTTACCCTGCAATGTCGACGTCTAGTTCGCATGGTTATAATGGTACCTACGTAGCTGAGGGCACGTATTCACAAACAGGAACCACACCGGTTGGCTATGCATCACCGCAACTGGTGATGCCAGATTTTCACACATATGTGGATAATTCGTCCAGGCATCAAAATGATCCGAGTAGTCTATCACAAAGGAATCCTCAAGCACCTTTACAAGTTAGTGAATTTTTGGGAGAAATGTGTTCAAATGAAATGTACTTCACTTTATACCTAATCTATTGATGTCCGTACGTTTTAGCATTCTTATCCCCAAGAACCTTATGATGCCTATCCCACCGATCAGGACTATGGGTGAGTGAAATATTTTTTATTGGAATCCCTCGAGTCTTAAAACACTCCAACTTACGGTCAAGCGTTTATACCCATAGACAAAAACCATGTTCGAATGGATCGTCGTCCAAAATGCCATCTCAGGATGTCAATCAATCTATGTGGTCCCCAGTTCTCCGTCAACCATCTAAAGTGCTGTCCACTTCCAAAACGACATATTTAAATGGAATGCAAGGAATAATGAATCCGGCTTTGTTATCCAATATAGCGGTTGCATTCCGAGCCGCCGTGAATTTAGGGACACATATGAAAGGTGCTTTGGAATATCCTGACAGCTTTACTGGAAAAGATACCGTGGTACGCATTGCTCTTTTGCACAAGTTTGGTGTTCCAATTTTTGAAACTTTTTTTCTTAAGGAAATCTATTTATGTGCAATAGAGCACCATATATTCTCTCCTTCCAAACCATCTCAATCGACAAGTTGCTCTATCAATGGCTCGTTCATTAGAATCCCAGCTTTATTTTCATTCTATAAATTGGTCAACTATTGCCGTGGTCAAGGACACAGAGGATGAAGTTTATCAATTCCTTGATGAAGGACCTTATTCGCCGACTGCATTGGAATGGGATGAAGACTTTCCTACTGGAGTTTTTCCCATTGCATCAAAGTGTTATAGCCCCCGCTGCGGTTTTGAAGGTAAAGGTTGCTATTCTCGAACGTGTCCTAATTATGTTCGGAGCGCGGTAAGTCTTTAGTCATTCTGGTAAAAAAAAAAATTTGTAGCCCTGATAGTGACATGTGTCATTGGCTTGTTGCTTTCAATATAGGATGAAACCCCACAACCACCACCACCACCACCACCGATACCCGAAAGTCTGCCCGGAGCCGATAATGCCGAGGCCACGGTCAGTTCACCCCACAACATACATATATGCGTGTGTGCAAAACAAAAACATACAGTATATAGAGTTAATTGCATCTTTGTTTCCTAATTGGTTTTAAAATATTTTAAGATGTCTACGTCGCCACAAGATAATACGTGGTCCGGAACCGTTCCAAAAGAAATCCAGGACACTGTCGACAAAGAAGAGAAAAAACGCCAAGAAATTATTTTCGAAACGATCTATACGGAAGAAGATTACATTAAAGATTTGGATCTCCTTGAAAACGTAGGATTCTCCGCATCAATATTAGGATTAGTCATCTTGAGCTTTGTGTCATTTCTAATCATCCGTATAATTTAAAGCTATTTAAGAAAGGGCTACGCGATGCGACACCGCCCATCATTCCACCCACTCAACTCGATGATTTTATTCAGGCGGTGTTCTTTAATGTGTTTAAAATTCGTGCACACAATCAAAAAATGCTGGAGCGTTTACGAAAAAGGCAAAAAGAGAATTATGTGGTACAATCTATTGGCGACATTTTTTGTGATAGTTCCATGGAGTTTGGAAATGATTATGTCGACTACAACGGACATTTTCCTATAGCCGATCATGCCATAAAAACCATGAAGATGAGGAATCCCGAGTTTAAGCGTTTTCTTGAGGTGACTTCATATTAGCTTCATTATTTACGTTTGCATCATCGCGATAACATAATTACGACTGACTCAATTAATATAATGAACCATAGGACTGTTCGCGGAAACCTGAAGCCCGAAGGCTTGATTTCAGACATTTTGTACAACGACCCACCACACGATTACAACGGTACACACTGTTTCTAGAGCAAATCATGAAGCACACATCTAACGATAATCCTGATAAAGGCCTGCTCGAAGGTGCTTTGCAGACAGTTCGCAATCTCTGTAAAGATAGCGACAGTCGAGTACACGATGCCGAACAACGGTTGAAGATATTAGAGTTGGAAACGAAATTGATAAAAAAGAACGGTGACCCTTGCGTACGAATTTATGAAACACAGAATGGTTTAACATATTTTTACGTTTTTCCCAATCATAATTAATAATTCTTTTTGCATTAATCCCTTAATTCACATTAGACCGAACTTAAGCTAATGGACATAAATCGCCAATTGCTATTTAAAGGGACTTTGTACAAGAAAAACCCCGCTCGATTCGAATGGCTAGAGCTCTTTGTGTTCCTTTTTGATCATTATTTAGTCATGACAAAAAAAAAGAGAGGGGCTGACGGGGATGAGAAATATATTATTTCAAAGAAGGTAACTATTCGTAGCTTTATCTTTGACGCATTCATCCATTAATTTTATTTATCATAAGGGTAATAATATTACAAAATCAAACAAAGCCTATTCCCTTAGAGATGCTTATAATTGACTCCTCGAATGATAACCTGACACCTAGAAATACACGAAAAAAGCCGACCACACAAAATCCACAAATTGTTACCGATTTGGAAGGCACGGATAATAGAACCAGCAACCCATTTAACATTGAACACGTGGGGAGACATGGAGGGTTATACCAATTGTTCGCGGATTCCGCCAACACCAAGAAAATGTGGAAGGAAAAGATACAAGATGCTCAGACCAAGCTTCAACTGAAAGAATTGAATAATCATGTATTCGAATTATTCACAATGAACGACAGCACGTTCAAACTTGGTCAGACTGGATCCTCCAGTTCAAATACTGTCTCAAGAGGAAAAGTTAACTGTTCTGTACCGTTTGGTATATTCTCGATTCATTTTTTTTCTTTTCTCTTTTATTGCGAATGATGACTTACGATGCGTTGGTACTACAAAAAATTGTAGTTACTCCGGAAAAACGTAATATGGTTGCCATAGGTACGGAGGAAGGGGTATGGATGGGATTTGGAGGTGAGATGCATACTTTCCGAAAAGTGCTGGCTATCGGTAATGTGATGCAGATGGCTGTGATTGAGAACTACGGAATATTCGTGGTCTTGGTTGGTGAGTGATGCATGAGATCAGGTTAAACTCGGATTCGTAAAAATACTTATAATCTAGTCTGTATCTATAATAGATAGAGTGCTCTGGGCATATTCGTTAGACGCTCTAATACCATCCTCAAACTCAAGTTCTCATGGTTCCGCGGTACGACAACGGTTGTGCAACAGCAATAGCAATGTTCAATACTTTAATGTGGGTACCATTAAAGATAAAACCTTATTGATTTTCATGAGGAAGAAAGGCATAGAAAGTCTCTTTAAAGTATTAGAACCCGTACAAAACGTTGGTGCGAATAGTGAAAAAGTCAAAAGTTCGAGTTCCCGTCGTCTTGGTGGTCTTATGTCTTCGAGGCATGATTGGTTTAAGGAGTATAAGGTTATTTTCATTATACTTTTGTTTTGAGAGGTCTACCAAATTGAAACATTTATTCTTAACACTGAATTCCTCTTCTAGCAATTTTACGTTCCATCGGAGTCCTATAGCATAAATTTTTTGAGATCGAAGTTGTGTGTAGTTTGCGCTCGTGGATTTGAAATTATGAATTTGGAGAATTTACATAGTAATACCATACCGGACTTCATGCAACCGTCTTTTGCCACAATAGCGCGGCAATGTGATGGATCAAAACCTCTGGGGATGTTCCGACTGAGCGACAATGAATTCCTTTTGTGTTACGCAGGTGTTGTCTCAACATTCTTTTTACACATGATTTCATATAGGAATGATCATCTCATCTCACAAACAACTGCTTTATTCGTTTTAGAAATATTTTTCCGTGTTGATAAATACGGTGAATTATCGAGAAAAAATGTAGTGGAATGGGAGGGTCATCCTGATGCAGTGGGTAAGTAGGATAATCGTTGCTGTTGCGTGTATGCAAAGAATTTGAGTTTAACGTCAGTCTCGTCCCGTTAGCGTTGCAATTGCCTTACATTATAGGCTATAATAGTTCGTTCATAGAGATAAGGGATGTCGAGACGGTTAGTACATACTTCCAAATCTTTGTTTTCTGCGATGTCCAAATATCCAAAGTGAGAAATATTTCTTTTTAAAATTCCCAGGGTGAATTAATACAACCGATACTCGGGAGAAATATACGTTGCCTGTATGATAACTCTCCGGGCAAGCATGCGATTCACGCGGTTATGCAGCATCCCATATTTGATGATACACAGTACATTTTCCAATTGGTGCTTGCCGAAGAAAGAAGAACTGAACGTTCATCTGGAAGATGATGAAAAAGCGGATTCGGTGTAATTGATCCCCATATACCTTTATTACATTCATCTACTTAAAATTGTATTATATAGTAGAAAGAAACTTGAAATTTTATTTACTCATAAATATGATTTATCAATACAACGACATTATATACCGGATGTGTCGATTTTAATTGATACCATAAATAAATAAATATTTATTCCTATCATAATATACAATATGATTGATTTTCGCGATAAGATACGCGTATGATCTGCAATGTTATCGACGATCAAATTTTTTATATAAATACGCGTATCCTTTTCCAACCAATTTCTTACAGGCAAAGCTTCCCGCCGTGTAGTGCGAAACTCCTTGATCTTGTCGTTGTCTTAACTAACCCTAACCCTTATTTCGGTAATATGATATCCTTGCCACTCGCTTTATTGTATAATCCTGAGTCGCTCTTCCTATTTGAAACGTCAATACAGTATATTCCAGGAGAAGTACAAAAAGTCGTGGGTCCTTATTCTACTTTCCTTTATGGACCACTGAATTGGGCACCCAACTGGAATAGTGAATATCAAGGTTATCATTTTACCCTCGGTTGCTTTGCTTCCGGCCTCATGCTAGGTTTGTTTATGCTCGAGTTCCTTCCTAGTTTTAAAAAAAAAAAATGAAACCGGCCAACAATGACAACAAGCATTTTCCACTACTTGCTACTTGTTTAAGTGGACACCAATCACGGTATGTAGCAAGCTTCATTGGGTTTACAGGAGTTCGCTTCGCCAAACTTGATGATCTTGTGTCACAGTGGGTGAAGTTTATGTGCTGTTTTTTTTTCCTTTACTTGGATTCCTTATGGTTTCCAGGTATTGATTCTCGACGCGTCGTTCGAGACAGAATTACCAGTCCCAGTCTGTTTTTATGTTTGCTGACACCTCAACGTGGTGACTGGGTGAACAAGATCAAAAAGATTTTGGCCAAGTTCAGCAAATCTTAGTAGGAACTGATAAAACGATTTAGGTAACACTGGGTTTTTTTATTTTTATAGTGTGTAAAGATTTTTTTTTTTTTTTTTTTGAATTGACTCTTGTAATAAAAAGAATAAAAATAATATATATGACGCAAGTGCATCTATCCGTGTAAATTTAAATAATTCAATGAGGAGCATTAAAGCGTGCGGACAACCTAACACCAATCAACTATTTTTTTATCTTTGCAACGCGTCAATTACATGTCAATTCTTTCGTCATCAAATGTGGTATCTGAATGTATGGAAGTCTCTGAAGTTTCACCTTTGAAATTCAAGAAAAATACTTCCGAACTATCAGTTGCGAGATCGTTTGTAGAGAAAACGATGTTTCCACGGGCATCGGAGTACAAGCAGCGTATATGATTCCCCTCAATAATTTGTTCCAACGAACCTGTTTCGATGTGACGTATTTCAACGAACGAAGGTTCAAAAGCAAGGATGTATGGGTACCTCAAGGCTGCAACATGAAACATCCGAGTAAAATAATTAGAACATGCATTTTATTATCCACCGAAAGTTGATCGACATGATCCTGCAAAAACTTACCAAAAGAAGTAGGCGTTCCTTCCCAATATATTATCCAATCAGGTCTTATGCGTCGACCGTGTTTATTAACAAAGAATGCAAATTCTATAAAACATAAACTAGAATTAATATTTCAATACATATATGAGCAGACTTGTGAAAAATTACAACTTTACCATCATAGCACAACAAAAAATCTCCGCTCCCTGTACGATACATCGCAATTGATTTTACATTCTCTTTTTTCGTGACGAAATCATGCGACGCATCATCCGGATGTAAAAAACATTGCGCGTTCAGGGTCACAAGGTCTACTATCTCGAAACCCTTAGAATTACACCCTACGCACAATTGTCTATTGAGAAAATGTACCGATATCAATTCGGCAGGTATGGAGAATTCCTAAACAAATAAATTTCGCAGATTGAACATTTCATCAGTTCATTCATTAATTCATTAGTTCACTTCCTTGATGAAGTAGATATGACCACCGGTACCTTGTATGTTTTTAATGATTCGCTTCCACCACGTAATAATCCTTTAAGTGTTGAACCCTTATTCTTACTTTTGGTGGTCTGTTCAAGCGGTTCTAGCGTCTTGATGATGGAAGTGAGGGTACTGTTTTTCACAACAGTCACCAAGGTTTTTCCGAGGCTTGTTCCCGACTTGAAAAAACTGGCATGCGAACTGATTTTCTTTGGACGTTTGTTGGTGGGATTGTCATTATCGGGATCCAATGCATCAATTGGACACGTATAAAGATTTTTATCTGCGAGATGATCCAACAGAATTTAAACACGGGTGAATGAGCAAATTGACGTTAAAATAGTCGAACTTACCGGCCAATATCAATAATAACCGAAAATCTTCCAAAATCTCAATCTGAGAGACCCGTTCAATTTGTAATACTCGAGTAGCAGACTTTTGACTCTGTCCAACTTCCAGAACATACACGCCTGTGTCCGTCCCAAAAGCCAGCCTCCGATAATTGTCTGAAGAACAAAAATTAATCGTGTTTTTACAAAAGAAAAAAAAAGTCACGGAATAATAAATGACTCTTACCAAAATAAGCAGCGCAGACAACCTTGTTTGTGCCGGAAAATTTGTTTTTCTCCAACAAAAGAGATTTCTCAAATACTTTCCCTTTCTCTTTAATTATTTCTTTTTGTTTCTCAATATATTCGATCCACTTTTTACGACTAATAAAGTTTGAGGCATATAATGTTACCGAGAATCCTTTTTTCCCGAGATAGGTGAAAGTAATCGCGAACTGTTTCTCATTACTCCCACGGACCGCTGGTCCAGGTAACATTGAGTGAGGGCGCTTTGGACTTTTTGTATTCTTTGTATTTACACGGGCTCCTTCGGTAGGTCCTTCCGAAGTCGAAACACTCAATAACTCCAAGGGAATCGGCTGCAAAAAAAATACAAAACAAAGGTGAGATTAAACAATTAATCCTCAACTCGGATATTATAAATATATATTTCTCATTCACCTTTCGACGAATTTTATATTGCTCCATCTTATTGATGGTCTTGGCTTTAACCATTAATAAAGCATGATCAAATAAAAACACATGCAAATCAGAAGATTCTCCGGTTCCGGAACGTTTGGATCGTTTCTTTAGTGACCCTTTGAAAATGATTTGACGATCCTCCTCCGTCAGTCTAAGATCCTGATGTAATGTTCATCAAATGACCCAACAAAAACCGCGTAAGCGTGATTGGGACATCGTGTGCGTTTGTCCATAAATTCATATTAAACCCTCATACCATGATTTCATTTCCTTTGGGAATCAATTGATCTTGCAATTGTTGCAAATTGAATCGATTCTCGGATTTTCCAGACTCGGTATTAACACTTGCCAGAAATTCTCTTATAATTTTAACGACGACTGGCAAGTTCTTCTGATCAGGATTACCCTCGGGTGTTTGCTTAAGAACAGCCTCAAGTAATAAAGGGTATCGACCAAGGCGTGTTGTAGGTTTTGTGAGGTAACCATTCAACTCTAACTTTCTGGATTCAGGAAGACGTTCCGTTTCCTATGGTGAATTTGTGCATCAGATTATGAATTCGAACAAAGTAGAAATCACAGAGAGAAAATAGTCGTTCGTTACATCAACAAATTTTGCGAATGCTGGGTTTGAATTTTTTTCTTTTTCAAACTCGTATTTTCCCCATAATTGGTGAGAACCGTATTGGATAAAAGGTTTAAACATTGGAACGTATTCCAGAAAAATATCTCCAATTTGCCCAACGATAGCATAAGAACTTTGTCGTTTTTCTAGTGCATCTGCGAGTTTAGAATTTACACTTAGGATCTCCAGTATGTTACCGAACACGTCTTTGACGAAAGATTCACGCCGAGAGTCGGGAATAATATTTTGTGACAAAATGGGTATCATCCAACACTAAAAATTTTACGTAATGTAACTCAATAAAATTGAATGAACACAGGTTAAATTCGAAAATACATATTTAATAATTTACATCTCTGACGTATTCCAGATCTCGAACAAAATCATCTTCCGTATAGATGACTTCGTTGATAGCCTCTTGACGTTTCTTTTCGGTTTCTGAAACCGATTCTGCAATCTCGGGAGGAACGGTGTGTATCCATAATTTTTGATCCTTCGCGATCGAAATTATAAATCTCTTAGATCAAATATAAAAATATGAAGTTCAAAGTTTTAGGATAAAAAAATATTTACTCTCTTTTCTGTAATGGATCCACGACTGTTCGCACGCTTAAGATTAGAATTCGGCTTCATATTTTTTCTTGCATTCTACAATTATGATTGAAAGATTTAATGCCCAAGTCAACAGACAAAATATATAAAGTTTATCAAATTCAATCTTATCGAAATGAGAATTACACACTTGTTCAAGCCTCCTAGGACATGCTATGCTATAGCATAAGTTGTCTCTTGTACAAGTAGGCGAGTAGCAGTCTGTCAACAATGTAAAAACCCCGCTTGGCAAATCTGGTTCTTCCGGAATTTCTTCTTCTGCATCATAATTATCCGAAGGTAGAATTGATGGCATCTTTTGGAAGTGATATAATTCATTCGGCGAATCACGAAGTCGATGGTCGTAAGTCACGTCGTGAAAAAACTTCTGGGTATCCAAGGCTCTCCCAAGTAACAAAGCTAGGTTTCTGTCCGTTGTTTTGATGATAAACGCAATTTTATCCTTTAAGAACAAACATCCAAAAAGAAACAAAAGAAACAAATCAAATTTCATTAGTGAATGCTTTAAGTGAAAATTCCATTCATAGACGCGATATTTAAACACCATACCACTGCATCTCTCCCATCAAAACAATCTTTGTACTCAATATTGTCCTTCGTTCTGTTAGACAGATTTACTCTGCTGCGAAATGCTTCAGCGACTAGAGAAAGTAAGGCGGGATATACAATAGGTGCATGTTGCTTACCAATTGTTGAAGATGGGGAAGATGGGGAACTTATATCCGAATTCGCTGATGACGATGCTTCTGAAAATGAAAATGAAAACGAACACGAACGTATGCGTTCATGTGTCAATGAAGTTTTAGATCTTTCGCGAATGCTATCTGTTGACCTCCGAGGTGGTACGCGTTCGTCGGTATATGTGGGAATTATTAGATTAGAAACGGTGGTACCTTTTAAAAAAGGAATAGATATATTAGATTAATTCTCGGAATATTAACCTTGTGTGGAAATAACTCGACCAAGAAGCGTTTAAACTTCAAGGACACAGAGGAATGATATGTGGTATTTTACCATTTACTGGCATCATTCTCTGGGGAAGTTGTTGCGGAGCATTCAGTGCGTATTGAACAAAAGGTAAGGGAGATCGCTGTCCAGATTGTGACTTTGAGGTTAACGGCTGTGTATGAACCTCATAATTTTGTGCTGATTGTATGGAAATTTGCGGTGGTGAGTTGGTGTATAAATGATGTATGTTTTCAGTGCGATCGTATTGCAAGTGTTTGATATGTGGTTGTATTGGTTGTAGATCTTGATGATTCTGCGACAAATATTCGATATCACCTCCGGGCGAAAGTGTTCCCAGAGAGGGTGTACTAATGACAGCGGGGTTGGGGTATAATGTTGAAGTAGGCTGATACTGTTGGTAAGGATGTTGCATAGGATAAGCTGGATCAAAATTGTTATATAAATTACGTGGATCCTCCCTTCCTTGCTGGTAATTTATATGTGTTTCCCGTTCAATAGACCCTCTTCTAACCCGTTGATCTGAGGTCATTGTATCCGTTCGGGTTGGATATTGCGGTTGACGCCCATCGTCCCATAGTCTAAGTGTTGCTTCATTGGAAGATCTTGGTCCCCGAGTTTTTACCGCTGGAGGTGGTGCCCTGTATGCTGCATAACTATCTATATGACCCTTCGTCCCCTTATACAACCCTTCTTGATATGTTTGTGCGGGGTCATTGTAAGTACGGGAACCACTTTTCTTATGCTCGTACGAAACTACGTGCTGCATTATTTCCAAGTAAGTTATCGGTAAAGGGTTGTTTGTAGTGTTTACTTATATTACTTCTGCTGAGATCTGTTTCCTATTATTGAAGTCACAATGACGGGAAAAATTTAATGATGGTAATTGACAATACTGACTAACTTAAGGTGTTGTTAAAACGACATCATTAGTCTTGTAGTGTATGTAAGCGAAGGATGTCAACTTTATTTCCTCGGGTTGTAAGAAGATCCGGTGTAAGATCAATTTTCGTTTTTAAAACAAAGGCTTCGGCAATGAATAATAAATGTGTGTTACGATTTCTGTGTGGAATTGGTGGTGGCACAATTCAAATAATTTACGACCCTGTGCAATCTATGTAATCCCTTAAAAAAATTACTGTTTTGGCCCAGATTGGTAAAAATAACAGATTCCACAACATAGTAATAAATTAAATTCATCCAATACAAAAAAAAGAATTGTGACTACAAGGCTATCTTTTTTATTAATATTTGTTTCTTTTAAACAAACTATTAATTACATACAGTATAACAAAATAAATGAATTAGTTATATATATGTATAGAACAATGTGAGACATTTGTTTTTGGAAATTTTTAATTTATTAAAATTTCATTGATATAATATAAAGTTGAAAAATCATTTAAGAAAGTCAATTAAAAATTTATACGTAAACTTATATACATTAATAAAAACCTCATATTTAAATGCTTACCAAATAATAAATTTTGTTCAAAAAGTTTTTGAAACAATTACATTTTATAATAAACAATTAATATGATTAATTAATTTAAAATATCAAAAAATATGTTTTTTAAAATATAAAAAATAAAATACTAAAAAATTTTTTTCTACTATATGGTTTATTAATAAATTTATATTTATATATAAATTATAAATAAAAAATTTTTTTAAAAAAAATAAGTTAATTTTCACTTATAATATTATCTCTTCCAAGTATTATTCCCCTTAATACTAAATAAATATTCATAGTTGGTTGATACCACATGGCAGAATATATTGTTTTAAACTTTCTTTTCAATATTAGTCATATGGTTACTGTAGGTAAGCTAGCATTTAACTCATTGTACCAATATATAAGAAATGTTGTTTCTTTCATGATATATATCTTGTTATATACAAACAAAATAAAGAAATAATATTTATCTATAAAAAAAATTTTTATTTTTATTTAGCAAAATTAAAATAATATATATAATTCTAAAAAATTTTATAAAAAAAAAAATAATTAAATAATAATTAATTGTTAATTATATTAAAATTAATATACATATATATTTATTAAGATATAATTAGAAAATCAATTTTATATATATTGAATTTATAAATTAGTTTATTGTTATAATACAATTTGTAAGTTTTATTTATATTAAAGATTTTGTTTTTAATATAATATAATTATTTTATATCAAAAAAAAAAACTCTTTTCCACTCCTCTTTCTATACTTTAAAATTTCCTTTTTAAGAAATTTTTGAATTGTTTATTTTTTCTTTATTTCCCTCTTCCTCCTCTCCTTACACTTTCTTTCCCATATCTTTTTATTTTCTTTTCTCTATCTTCTTCCCTCTCTTCTATATATTTTTTTTATCTTATATCTCTTCCTTTCTTCTTTCCCTTTTTTTTTTGTTAAAGTTAGGTTTTCTCTTTTTTCTGAAGATTTTCCTTTCTAGTCCTCTCTCTTTTTTTTGAAAACTTTGTCTCCATAACATCACTCCTCTAGCCAATTAACTTACTTCTTTCAAGAACCATATTAAAAAGTGGTAACCTTTTTTAGAATTTAGGTTTCAAGAAATTTTTTTTTTTCATGGTTTCTCAAAAAAAGGATGAATGGTTTATCCCTTTCAAAAAATCGATATTATTATTATTACCAAACTCAACGTTGTTTACTGATTAGTAGTTAGACTAGATATATCCAAAAAACCTCTGTATAACTATTATTATTTAAAAGTATTCAAGGAGTTGTGCCCATAATATCCAGAATAAAATGGTAGCCAATACCAATACAACTAACAATAAGCTAAATTAGTTGCAGGTGTCATGCTGGTAATTAAGAAACTTAGTAAAGTAATATGTAATGACTAGGAATTCTAGTTACTCCCGAAAACAAGCTGGTGATGATAACAGAAGTTCTTTACTTACCTCTCGAACAATATAGATCTATTGTATAAGGTTAAATTCTAATACTATTAAGAAAACCAATAAGAACTTCATCTATAGGACACTTCCACTATACTTGAAGCATGGATCCTTTTTGTAACTTGAAAACAAACCTATATAAAGTGGTTACAGTGCCTTCATACAAAAATATATTCATTTCTCACCACCTCCAATACTACTTTACTTGTTGTACATCAAGCCATATTTGAAAAGCAGGTGTGCCAATTATAATTATAACTTGGAGGCCAACCTGTATAGATTGGTTACAGCATCTTAATATAATTAGGTATTCATTTAATTCTAAATAGCTAGATACCATTCAAGATAATAATATAGATTTTTGAATTTTTTTTTTTTGTATTTCTTAAATGATGCCAAAAAAGTATAGAAGTTGAGCCTATTTTAGAGCCTTGCATTAAACTTTTCCTAGCAAAGAGAGACGTATGTCATGCTATTAATATTGTACCTTGTTTTGTAAGTGAAAGTATAATAAATAAAATAAAACATAATGGCCATTTGCTCTTTTTAAAAAAAAAAATTATTATTATTTTATATCAATCTTTTTAAAAAATAAATTAATTATAGTTTTTGATATAAATAAAAATTAAAAAAATAAATCAAAAAAAAAACGTTATAATAAATATATAGTAATAATAATAATGTTAAAATTAAATAAAAAAATATTTATTTAAATATTAAGTAAAATCAAAATTCAATTATATAAAATCTTATATGTAATATATAATAAAATTTTTTAAAATTTTTTTAAAAAACAAAAAAAACTCTTTCCCATATACAACTTTTTTCTTAAAAATTTCCTTTTATAGTAATTTTTCTTCAAAATTAAAGAAACAAATATTTTTTTCACCTTTCAATATCCAAAAGTCCTTCATATTTTTTCTTTTTTCACTATAAGAGTCTCAAGAAAATTAAAGAAGTATACTGGTGCATCGGAATAGGACATCTGGCCAAAGAAAAGCAAGTTTGAAGACCTTGCTTTTTCTTTAGATTGCATGAGAAAAGGCTCGTGACAGTTACTTCTTTATAAATCTTCCTTGGGATTCTTCTCATTTTCTTTTCTTTTCAATATACAAATTTTTTTAAATAACTATACTTCTTGCTTGAAGGATTTCCTTTTATCTCAAAAAACCAGACTTCATATCAAAATTGTTTATATTGTTGACTTGGAGCACTAGCAATATATTTAATATTTACTTCTCACTATCACCCAGCATATTTTGCTATATCACCAAAAATCAAAAAATCTCACTCAAAAAATTTTATACCAAAAAACCGCAATCAGTTTACTCTTGTCAATTGATTAACATTCCAAACTCAACCAATCAAATACTATTAATTTTCAAACAAATCTGTATAACTAAAACACTACACTTTGATTGATATAAGCAAAATCTTTTATGGCAACAATAATCAAAACAAAATCATATCATCAATAAACAAACCAATCACAAATCACATTACTACAACAACAATACTATCACTACAACTAATCATCTACCAAAAAGATATACCATCAATACTATTGTACACTTTGGACAGTAGCCTGGTCATTTCTGGAAGTGCAACAGTACTTCAGTTAAATGAAACTACCAGTGTGGCATGCTTAGTGGTATCCATAGCTTTACAATTAGTGTTTTTGTATTTATTTTTTTTGTTTTTGTTTAGTATTTTTTTTTTTTTCAATTTTCAATTTCTTATAGTTTTATATATAAATCTGAGAAGTATTTATAGCTGTTTAACACTATTTAGAATGTATAGTGGTCGACATAAAGATCTGGAATTTTTGCCTATAAGGAAAAAATTTTTAACTTATTTATACTAATTGCTTAAATTTCATATACACGTTATTTAATATAATAACTATAATATACGAAAAGCTTAATAATTGATTTTTTTCCCTTTGCACTTAATCACCTTTAAAAGTCGGTTTTCCATACTCATCGCCAATCTAAGAAAGATGCCTGAATTTAAACCCTTCCATTCTTAATAAATTATTGACTGAAACTCACTTGTTAAAAGCGTTTTTTTTTTCATTAACCAAACATTTACCATTTTTTCGACCTTACTTTTAAATATTGTCTACAGATTTTTGATTGAATTCAAATCTGGCAAATTTGAGGGCCAATCAAGAATTTGAATTCTGTGGATCTCAAAAAGATCTTGCGTAACGCTTGCTGTGTGGACCAAAGCGTTATCTTGTTGAAAACACAGCCTACATCTTGTTCGAGAAATGTAAGTGAACAGGTGGGTTTCTAAAATTTGGCAGTATTTTCATGCATTTAGGTTTTCTGTGAAAAGAAACAATGAAAATGACCTTTGTGCAGAAAATATACCCTAAACATAAACTTTATAGAGATGCTTTACTAAGCTATGGCATGGCCGTAGGCTCCCACGATGATGCCTCACTAATTGAATATTCTGGAACATCTGGAAAGTTATTTCATTTGATAAAATAGTAGTGGTCCAACTGTTATGGACATAATTCTGAGCCCATTCAAGATAGGCAATGATATGAGAAGGATGGAGGAGGAGATTCAAAGTGGGCGGCAAACAATGAACTGAAGGTTTTTTTTTAATATGTGCTGGGTAGTGCGAATGGAAACCTTTGTATTGGGGTTTTTTTGAACAAGCCTTTTGGTCATTTCAGCTGTGGTAACAGTATTATTCGTTTGAATGATCTGGCCAAAGTGACGTTTTTGTGGAAACAAGAAAATTTGAAATCTTCATGGAATGGGAAGTGGTGTAACAATTAATCTTTTTTTAAGCCAATTAACAATGTCATACACTGTAGTCTTCGAAAAACTTGTTAT